TTTCCAAATGACAGACTATTGGAGGGGTGACAAATTATCTGCTTTTATGGGCTGGAACTAGCGAAAAATTGTGAGACGGTCAGTTTTGTGTCCCGATGGAGGCATTGTGCGAAAATGATTCTCTCTTAGATATAAAAGTTACAGGTGACTTAGGGCATTGAGGTAAAGTATGTTAAAAAGGGAACAAGGCTTGTTATGATTTGGCCTTTTGTCCTCAGGAATGTAAGGATTTTCAGGGTCTCGTCTTTTGTTTGGGCATCTCAGGTTATATTTGCTGGATATGTTCCAAAAAGAATGAGATTAGCTCAAGACTCTGGTATTAGGATCACAAGGGAATGGACAAGAAATGACAAAACACCTGCATTTTTGGTGTTTTATGTCTTGGAAAAGAACAAAATATGCAGTTCCATGGCCACCTTCCTTCTCTCTCTCTCTCTCTCTCTCTCTCTCTCTCTGTCTCTCCCCTTCTCTCTCTCTCTCTCTTTCCCTCTCTCTCCTCTGCCAGTCTTTTATTTTCTCTGACATCTTTTAAACTGTGTACACTCTCTTCAAAGTCCTTAGAATTGTATTCACAGATTCTTGAAATATATGATTTAACATTTTCAGTGAAACTCATGGATTGAATTGTAGGTACTACATGGTAACTTTTTTAAAAATCTTTTGGGCAAAAACAGGACTGATTTATAGCATTTACTTTTTAAAAAAACATTCTTTGTGTTTTGGGATATATGTGTCCAAATTCACCAACAAATTTCCTTTTTTGAGACAAATTGTGATCTCCATCTTCTTACTTGTTTGTTTATTTCTTCCTTCTTTCTTCCTCCCTTCTTTCTTTCTTCTTTTCTTTTTTCTAAACTACACTCATAAACCCTATTTTCAAAGTTCCTCTCATTAGGTAAAAGAAAAATAAGATTGGTCAAAACATCGATTCATTGCTTGGAATCCCATTAAAGATGATACTCCTTCTTGCACTCAAGTGTGAAACCTCTCACCGTTATTTTCACAACAACATACTACTCGACTTGTGGATTGTTAGTGCCACATTATCTTCACTCCTTGAAAAAGTTTGCATAAATATCTTCCTGGTGCTATTCTTTTCATACACAGAGGTGTAGCTACAGGGTGCATAAGGGGCCATGCCCCCCCCCCAACGAAGGAGTATACAATACCAAAAAAAAAAAAAAAAAAAAGAGAAAGGGGGGGGGGGGTAGTCACATGAAAATATAAGATTTTACTTTTCCCTTCCACACCTTCTTCCTTATCAGGGGCATTGTTAATTTCACATTTCATCTGTGAAATAAGATAAGAGAACACCCCCCCCCCCATGTCTGTGCCCCTGGACCCTACCCTAAGCCACTGTATGTGCAATACGGAATTTTCTTGTTCTGTCAGTTTTATCTGTTATGATCTCATTCATATAATATTCCATCATGCCATTTCAGTCTTTGTTTTTACATTTTCTTTTATTGTTGCTTTCCACCCAATTTTCTCCTCTTTTTTCTGTGTAAAGATTCTTATCTGAGAGGGGAAGACATGCATTGAATATGATGTTTCAGACCTACACAAATCTTGTGGAAGTACCTTTAATTTTTATTTGTTACAGACGTCCAGGGCCATTGCTACTTTTGGAAGCATCTTAATTAATCATGTTGTTGAAGTGTTTGTATGTTTATTATACAGACAGCAAAAACATGTTTTGAGGATATTGTCACAGAAAAAACAGACAATCGAAAACCCAACAAAGCCAAACATAAAACAATATAGAAGGCAGGGAAAAGATCTTCTCATTAAGTTGATATTTATCATTCTTAGGAAACTAATTTACAATTCTGCTGATGCTTTATGACTTTATGTTTTTCTTTAATTGCCATAGATTCTAATTTTGGCCAAATTCCTTGGCTATCTATGATGATATTACTTTTTGTATGGCTGCTTTGCCTTTAATGTTCATCTACTTAAGGCTGGGAAATAAGTAAACTCTGCACACATTAGAGATATCAATTTCTTTGATGGATACAAGTATCTTCATATTTATGTGCGTTTTCAATAAGTTGAATACCTTTTTTGCTGCAGCTACATTTAAATAAACCGAGTATAGTTGTTGCGATCCTGTGCATGCAGAGATATTCTGGTCTACAAGATGAGTCACTAATACTGTGGATTATAAGGTACAGGGTTCAAATACATACATCCGATACAACAGTTTCTGTACTCTTTTGCCCATGAAATGTTTAGCATTTTAGTAATCCCGTTGTTTTCTTCTCTCTTTCTTTTTTTTCTTTGGGTACATCCTGGTGTTTGCCTTGATCTGGTCTCTTGCTGTCCTGACACAAAATAGGTAAGTAAAGTATAAAACATCATTGGAAAGCATTAACAAAATTTTACCAGGCATACAGATTTCAGTGGCATATGAGTTTTTGTCATGATGCTGGCTTGTTTACTTTGTTACAGAATGTGGAATGTGGAAACAATATTTACAGTTAGAGTTCTGAAATTTAGAAGTAATGTTGAGATCAATTTTTGAAGTACATTCTTTACAGAATATTGGCTGATTTTACAACGATCCCAATTGGATACAGCGAGCCTTGATCTTGCATTTTATCTATGGAGAACTGCTATACACCTTCATTTTCAAATGTTGTCTTTGATTTGAAGGGAAGATGTTTGAACTTTTTTTCTGTAGAAAAAAATAATATGAAAGACTCGAAGACCAACATCTTTACAGAGAAATGCTTAAAAAGTAAATACTGATACTCCATTCAACAGTACGTTGTTTCATTTACTGTTTTAGTTTGTCGGTGATTATGAGAGATTGCGTAAAAAGTGCCTTTTCTTGTGTGCCTCCCACAGTTCTCAAATTGGCATCAAAGTTGTCTCCTTTTCTTTACGAAAGATTACCACTCAGACAAACAAGATTACAAAAGTGTCACTTATCAGAGCTTTTCACTATCATTCAGTGTCACCCAGAACTTATCCTAAGTCCTTGAAATAAAATACCTGGCATTCCTGGATTGGTTCAATATTGACATTTTAGAAAACCACTGTTCAGTTTTTACAGAAAGTGCAGATATTTGTATAAGCTGTATTGTCAAATTTCCTTCCAATCTGGCAGTATTTTCCCAAATGCTTTTCTTTGGTGTAAGTACATTAGCATTTAGTTGATTTATTGGGGATAATAGCTCCTCGGAAGGCGACGAAATACTTTGTAGCGTTTGTCATGCTGTCAAGATCATATTCCGCCCGAAGAAGCAGATACTCAAATCCTTCAATCCAATCGTGGAATCTATTTACTCACGGTAGTTGCGTGGTTATAGTGACAAAGACAGCCAAAGAAATGCCATCAGTCTTTCTTGTGCAGTGATTTGCACTTTTGATGATCCTATTTACCATATTTGTTCATAAGGTAAACAGTATTCAATGGAATTTTTCTCGGGGTGATGTGTCGGGCAAACAAAAGGCGTCCAAAAATAGGCTGTCAGAACACAATGCACCATGAGTATACCGTAGTTATGACATCATAAAAATGTCATTTGTAATCATAAAGGTGTAGGTACGATTGTCGTGGGTGTCCTGTTCGTCACTCCCCAAAGAGGGCAACCCCTTCCGTCCTGTTCGTGGTCAAGGCCTTTTGTGTTTTTCTGTCATATTTGACATTCTGATGAATGTGTAATTCCATTGTTCATTCACAGATCTTACCATTTATGGTATTAACCAGTAATTTGTAAACAATAACAGTTATGACGGTTGTTTTGCGTTTGTTTGTATTTGCTTCGTATTGCTTCTTAGTGCTCATCACTAGGATGTGCACATAAAGAATCAAATATCCTTGATTGTAGATTGCATTTGTACACCATTATTGCGTGGGGTAATTTTAATGCCTCTTTGGTATTTCTGACATGATTTAACCCAACATAACAGGATGGTAACTTTATTGCATGCCACACAGTTCTCGATTATATCACAAGAGATGATCAGCTCAGTCATGTGTTTAGTGGGGTACAATGGGTGAAGAAAGTGAAGAAATATAATATAAAAGAAGCTAACCTGATGTAGTTGTTGTTTATCTGACAAGACATTTGATGTAAAGAATTCACCATTTTCCAAGAAGATTTCCCAACAAAAGACCCTACTTCAGTACCTGCAAGCAGATTACAAGGAAGCAAGAGTTCTTGCGTAGTTTTCATTATATTCCAACTTACGGTGAACAAAGCAGTGATAGGATATCATTTCAAGTGGTCAGACATGGGGGGGGGGGTGGGAGAGAGAGAGAGAGAGAGAGAGAGAGGGGGGGGGGCAGGAGGGAGGGAGATACAGTCAAACCTGTCTTTAGTGACCACCCAAGGGAAACACAAAAAGTGGCCTTTGTAGACAGGTTTCTTTAGTACATGATTCAACAAATGTAGACAAGGTGGTCACTAAAGCACGTTTGACTGTATAAATAAATAATTGGTGAAAATTAAGGTGGGAAAACATACCTCCAAAATGTGAAGATTTCATTAAAAAAATGGTATATACCTTTTGAAAGATGAATATGATCATATTAATGTAGAAAGAGAAAATAGAGTTGTATAAAAGTCTGTTTGACAAATAGAAAGAAAAATATTGTTACAACAGCTAGAATATGGAAGTGGGCCTAAACTTTCTGCTTTAAGTATTCTTAAAAAAGACTGAGCATTATGAAAAGATTTGAAAAGTTTGTGCATATTTTCAATATTTGAAACCATTGAACACAAGCGTGAGAAATCTCTGAAGCTGTCATTTAGCAAAATAGAAAGAAAGAGCTGAGCAGATAAAGTTGAAAAGAAAAGCTGTGGGGGGGGGGGGGGGGGCTAGATATCAAACTGTCTCCAGGAATGCGATGCTTCTCCCCATTGTGTCTGTTTTCTATGGATTCTGTTGGAGAAGTTTTGTGCGTGTCCGTTGAAGCGGCCAAAAGCATACAAAGTCCCAAAGAGTAGTAAACACGGTAATAATACTAGCATTAGGGCTATAAAGGCTTTTTTAGAGTACAGTGCTTGTTGATTTGTACATGTGGTTCCAAAGCGTGAAGTTAGTGCTTCTCTCTCTCAGGCAGGGACTCTCATGATACACAAAGGTCTGTGCTCGATCAGCGTTCACAGGAGGTTTTTAAATCTGGAATATATCTATCATCATAGACCTTTTACTGTGGATATATTGCTATAATTTTTGTAGGTAAGAAGGCTTGCTTGTTTTGTTACTAACTTTCCATCTGTACAGGTAATTTGACGACTCTTCCTAAAACCATTTGATAGAGGCCGAAAATAGTGGAAGCAATACTAATTTCATGTCAGGATCAGTTTTATTACTGAGAATTAAACCTGTCTATTAATCGGTTTTAACCATTGTTTTTTTAATACTTCTATTCAGTTTTTGACGCACACAACTGCTTTAATTCCATCTATCTTAATTTCAGGAAGAGTAAGAAGCTTGATTTTAATTGCAATATTGACAGTGCAGGTAATTACACAAAATGTGACTTACATTTCAGATTCATTATTGTTTTACTCTTCTTCCTTGGACAATCAAAGAAACATGTAAATTGTATTGAAAGGCGGTCAAGAATCGTTGCTTTTTGTGGACGGACGTAGATGCAGGATAGATGTTGATTCCTAATATTAGTGACGAAATATTCCTTAACAGTCTCAAGGTGAATTTATGAACCACAAAAGATGTACATTCTTATCAGTGTGAAACGGGACTTCAAGCCTGGCTAGATCACAATGGATGACCACTATTAGAAGCTTTTAAACTTGTTTTGTACTCCATAAAAGGCCTTGAAGGTCCTACAAACCAATATTTATCACTTTTAAAATGCCCTATATAATTTAGCAGACCGCAGAATCGTGTGCATTATTTGAAATGCATTTAGTGCCTTTTGAATAGGCCTATTTACTTAGTAGGACCCCCTTTCATCCTGCTCTGTAGCCCGTTGGATAATCAAAACACAGGCAAACTTCATTCATATGAGCCCTTTGATTTGACATAGAGATATGTAATAACTGATTCAAAAACTCAGATTGAGAATGGTCTAAATTACTGATCTTTTAACCATTTGATTATTGATATTGTGAGATATGTGTGTCATTCAGGGGGAAGTCTAAGCTCCATTCATTGGACTTAGGCCAGCCCCGATCTGGTCCTAGATTGTGGACCTGATAAGATATGTACATGTTTGTTAATACATAGTCATTTAGGAAATGTTTGAGCTCAATGTTTTAGACCTGGACCATCTAGACTAGAGTCCTAAGTTTTGGACCTGAAGCCGATTAGCTCCCTACTGGGAAACGAGAGGATTTGAGGGATTATAGCGAGCCTGGAAAGGCCTCGGTGGAAGGATAATATAAGAAGCCTTGCTATTAAAAAGTCCGCAGGATAAGGAAGGTATATGGATTACATTGAAGTATTATGTCCAAATCATGATAGGAAAAAGGCCACTTAGTAGAGTAAATTACAAGGAAATAAATGGGAGAGAGGGGAAAAGAGAGAGAGAGAGAGAGAGGAGGGAAACAAATTTGTCTTTTTAAAGCCAGAAGGGAGTAAACTTTGTGTAAAGGTATATTACATGTAGTTAATACCCTTATAGCTTTCAAAAGACTATGGAAGATACAGAGAGAATAAGAGAGAGAGATAGAGAAAGGAATCTAGTAAGGACAAAACAAGGAAATGAGATGGAAATAAAAGGGAGAGAAAGAGAGAGAGAGAGAGAGAGAGAGAGAGAGAAGGGGGGGGGGGGGCTGGTTGACAAGGGAGTATTTCTTTGCTTTAAGATTGATTTAGATAACAATGTGTTAAGTAGGTGTACAATTAAGTGAAGGTCAAATGTAGATTTAATTGAAACTGCATTCCTCACATAATGTCATCATGAATGTTGGTTATTGCTCTTCATGTTTACTTCAGAAAAACTTTTTTCCAGTTTTTGTTTTCTAATTGAAACTTGCTTCCCCCCCCCCCATAATTCCACAATAGCTATCATTATTTTCCTATATTGCCAATTTGCATACCACACCAAATACTCGAGAAAAAGAAATAAGGGAAAGGTTTACAGATTTGCCCTCATATTTAAAATATATTGAGATCAACAATTTTAAATATTGAAATTCCTCAGTTTTGTCTCCTAATATTATTAAACTGAAGTGAAAGATTGCTGTTTGGCAATAAATATGCCTGTGCATATCTTTGATATCTACCTTTGATATTTTTCTTTTTGATATCATATATCAAAAAAATGAATATTGAAAACTCGACCTTGCTTCTTGCCTCCCCTTGGCTCATTTTCCGATCTCCTTGTTGCCCCCTCTACACTTCCCCTGCTCTTTGAACATTTCCTTCCTTGATCAACGAGGGAGAGCTTCCCCCTATCAACGCCAGCGAGTGACAGTTTCAATTTGGGGGCTTGCAGGGGGTCTGTCGATACTGATTAAAAAGGCTTATCATGGTTTTTTAATTTCATTTCAGTATATTTCATATTTACTCCTCTACATTTGAACATGACTTATGATTTTTGTTTCATTAAAAAAAAAAAAAATTATATTTTCACTTTGTAGTTATAAATTGTTTTCCTTTGACCTAAATGAATCGTATGTTCAACACAAAACATTAATGAAAAACAATCTGGAGGGGACTATAGTTATTATATAGTAATATAAATAATTGATATAATTCAGTTGGTGGCTTTTTTTTCTGCTGGAATCTATTTTGATTTAAGATGGTCACAATTTATGAGCAAATGAGCCAATTTATAGAAACTGATTTATACAGGGTTGTCATGTTTATTGCGTTGTACAGAACTTGCACGATTTTATCTTTACCTTCCAAAGTTCTTAAAATAGAGGAATGGAATACATTCAAGAATAATTACCCCAACGACTCTTTAACTTGATGGCCTCTGACTGCTGAGGATATAAATTAAATGGTCAGTCTGTTTCTATTTTATAAAACATATCTTGATTATTTTAATGAAAAACTTTGTTAATTCTGAAGCCATATTATGTCTATACAAGGTCGAAAAATATGTTAGGCAGTATTTGAAAAAAATTGAAGGAAAACAAGAATTTGAAGGGTGTTGCTGCTGTATTTTTAGAACTGATAAACATTTTAAGAGGAAGCCCCACAAAATATCCCTTTTATAGATACTAATTATGGAGGAGTGCAGGAGATTCATATGATATGGGTAGGGTGCTTGAATTTGATATCTTCTTGTAAAATTATCCTCCTCACACCCACCCATTCATTTCCATGTAAGGGCACATGACTTCATGTACATCTTTGAAACATCGGGGCAATAAGAAGAATTGATTGGACTGCAGATTCCCACCTTCAATGATCTTCGTTCAACTCCTTTCCTCTCGATCAAATCTGATTAATCATCATCTTAGGTCTAGAAGGGCATTAAATTTATGTACATGTAAGAGTAAATTAATTAATGTCTCTCTTGCTCTGAGTATATTTTAGTAATTGGATGACGTTCCATTTTGCAAGTTACAAGACTTAACAGGTTCCAATACAGCTATCCAATTTCTCCTACGTTTGGCATGCATACACTTGCATTTCCTTGGCATGTAATTAAATGAACCCTAAATTGGGGTTTCCTCGATGAGACTGTAATCGAATACGAAATGTTTTGAGACATGGAACTTTTTCTGCGTATAGTTTCCAACAAAAATATTGCCTAGTATGTCTATAAAAGAAAATTAGTTTCTGGTTTGTTTCCCATTTTAAGTGGCAGCAGCTGCTAGTCTGGAAGTGATCGCAGCAATTAGATCAGACCACTACTTATTGCATTATTTAAATGCTCAGCTGGGCGGTGACATGACTAGTATTCAACATGATTGCGATAATTGCGGTTACATCGTTGATCAAGAACATCAAGGAACGGGTCAGTTCTGTGGAAGATGGGCGCTCGTACGCTTATCGCCTCGCGTACATTCTGAGATCCTTGATCTGAGAGGCATGAGCTGTGAGGAAATCTTGTAGGTATTTTCTGAAGTGAAGATGTAGGCTTTCTCGGACACTCTTAGACACCCTTGGACACCCTTGGATGTCCTTGGACACTCTGCCAGTATGGCATCCTGTCCTGGTGCCCCCAACTCCTCCAGGCAACCGCCTCTCGCCTGTCATCTCCGCTAACCGTAGGCCTGCATCTGATGATGAGGATGGATAAGATTGAATAGAGTATCCACTTCTGGGGCACTTACTTGGCAAGGGGATGGCTACTGACTCCTGAGGGAAAATATCAGCGGCAATCGTTCCATCAAGTTTTATAGCTTTTCCTGAAGGCTTGTTTTTAAAAAAGACCCATAGTTCTGGACCTGTTGCTTCTGCTGCTGCTGATGTTGATTTCCTCAACTAGAACTAACTGTCTTATTATCGAAAATAATATCGCTAGTGGCATTCGTTTGTCTTGTAATGTATGGTCAACAAGGGATCTAAAGATCACAAAGTTTCATGCGCCACTGCAACACTTCGTCAGGTGATAAAATATATTTTAAGCAAGCGTGTTTTATACTCTACGGGTGGACTGGCGGTCAAACTGTATTATTGTCCTCGCACGGACTTGGTTATTCTTGTTGCCACTTTGAAGCGGTTGCCTCAGATAGAGAAGCTTCTTTTAGCTTGTCATTAATTGCTGCAAGAACTGAATCTTTCTTCTTGTCGACATTGCCAAAGGCTACGGTTCCAAGATGCCTGCTCTTAGGAGGGGCATACCCACCTGCTGGTGTAGGAGGCGCTGTGAACAGCTGAGGAATATTTACTTTGTAAGCCTGAATGAAGAATTGACTGCTTTCCACAAGGTAAAAATATTAATGATGTTATCTTTCCTTTTTTATTAAAAGGAGAACTGACATTTGCTCTGGGTTTTTATTTCATCAACAATAAATGGTTAGGTTTAAGGGTTTGTCTCTAGTCAGGTATTACTTTGGGCATGCTTTCTCATACCATCCAGAGGCCTTTATACTTGGGAGTTTAAAAGAACTCTTTATTTAGTGTAAATTCTTTCTTTCTAAATTTCAGTTGGGGTTCCTCAGTTCACATTTTACTTTCATTCTTTTGTTTGAATATATGAGCCCTTCTTCACTTAAATGGAGATTCCGTCATATCGGTTTCATTTTTGAAGACTTAAATTTAAACTCAACATCTTAATTGCCCATATCAAGGGAATTTGCTGTGTTTAC